CAACATTGACTTTGAAAGCTTAAGCAGTGATCAACTTATGCAACCAATTAGTGATGATAAAATATTAGAAATTGGTGTTTGCTTTCATAATGCTAGTAGTTTCAAACAGTTCCTAAGATCCACCACCATTACTTAACTTTGGGGTGAAGATAAAGGCTAGCAATAAATATAGAGTTATAGCAACACGCTCACATCGAGGGTGCCCTTGGAGGGTATGTGCATTGCTATGCAGAGATGGTTAGAAATTTAAAGTTATGAGGTTAGATGAATGCATTTGTGTCATGGTGTTAACAGAGCTAGAAATAAACTTGCTACATCAAATTGGGTGGCTTTTGAAATACATTATATTATGAAGAAAAATCCATATATACAACCGAAGCACATTAACAATACCATTTAGACAAAATATAGATTATCATTTCCATATATGCGACTGTGGCGCTCCAGAGAAGTTGCACGTGCAATGGCTTTTGGTGATGTGGGTGAAAACTACAAATGGCTTCTTGCATAAAGAAGTGAGGCATGTGCATGTGTATGCTTGTAGAATGCGATTCTCACTTAGATATGTTTTATATATAATGCATTGCAAGTTGCAGTAACAAAAGATTTGTGGCATGTGCATGCTTGTAGAACCGTCAAATGTCTAAAACTCATTATGTAAAGGGCAATACATGAAGAAATGTTGCTTTAGAACATCAACTAACAAGGAAATAAACCAAGTTAGTACAACACAAATGGGAGACTAAAAAAACAACAACTTCAACTAACATCTCATGTGCATGCATTTCAACCAATTATCACCGACTCATACATAAGCAAGATTCATCTATGGAGATGAGTAGAGACTAGAGAAAAAAACAACAATACAGACCGCTTCTCCTACTGTTGATCCCATGACTCTCCAATAATCCCATAGGATGCATGTTAGGGCATGGTTGCAACATAGATCATTTAGGTAGAGCTGTCCAACATAAACCACTCAGCACAAATCGAGCTCTTTTTCATCATTGCTCGGATTTGCATAACACAAAAATATAGAAATCCTCCACTGTAGCATACTTATAGAAATCCTCTATTACAAATATAGAAATCCTCCACTACAAATATAAAAATCCTCCAATGCAGCAAATTTATAGAGCACTACATTATAGAAATCCTCCACTGCATTGAAAACAACTTCAGTGAAAGAGTTGCAAAACTTCTTATTCCCTCACAACTCCAGCACAACAAAAAATAGAGGGTGTTCTCATGAAAGCTAACCAACGGACCCATCACAGTGAAATAAAGGCAACCGAAGAAAACCAAATTAATATGTGAAAGCCAATCAATCAGCAATCCACCGCATCAACATCTAACAAAAAATATCATGTAAACAAAAAAGCATAAATCATAGCTCAACAAAGAAGAAAACAGAGGGAGTTCTCAAAAAAGTATTCCATCCAACTCCTATCTCTGAACCGCCAAGCAAAAATGACTAAAGCTAGAGCTAGTTCTCACCGGACAAAGAATGACATAGTTGTACAAAAAATTAAGGCATGAATCATATCAGGGCATCACTCAAAACTCATGGGACCAGTAGAACGATGAAGAAGGAGCAGGAGTACTAAGTAGGAGTACTAAGGGAATGAGAAATGAGTGTTCACAAGCATCAAATGGCTTTTTCACGCAGGAAATCGACGGAGAACAGGGTGAAGGAGATGAACCTGCGAGCGAATGGAGCTAGCATGCGTGCGGGTCACAGAGACGGAATAGAGTGTGAGATATGAGGAAATAAGAGATTTTGGGTGTGGGTAGTGTACATCAGTAGTTTTATGTGTTAAATATGTAAATATGTGAGTTTTAAGTGTTAGGTAGGTAAATCCCTTTTTTTTAAATAACATTTTCTCATCTTTGATTAAGATTCAATTTTTGCTATTGATATATCTAAGTTAATCTGAGTCTCTAGATCTTTGATTTATTCCCTCAGCTATTTTATATGAGAACACTAACCTAAATTCAACGAACCTTCTGTCAATCAATGCTGTTTGGGATTTACAGTGCTCTCTTTCCATTTTGGATAGGCTTTGTGCATGATGGGGTTGAGCTGATGTGAGATTTGGAAAGTTACCTGTTTGTACGAGATATTCTTGCTTAGCTAGGTGGTTACATGTTGAAATGAACCATGTAGTTGGATTCTTTTTTCTCCCCTCAAATTAAATAAGCCAAGTGGTTTATTATAAACCTGATTTGACACATCTATTTTTGTGTTCATGCGTTGTAATAGACTGGGAAGTTTACTTTATTGTTTTAGTTATATATCCAGGTCATGAAAATAGTTTTAGTCTGCGTGGAATTTTTAATAATCATTATTAAAAGTTGGTTTAAGAATAATAATTTGATACCAGATATCTAAAAGAGGAGGTTTGTGAGTAGAATTGTGATTGTAAGAATTATTTCTTCTATTTTCAATCTCTTCGTAAGGCTAAATGTGACCAAATTGCACAAATATTAAAAAGAATCTATCTAGAATTTTAGAGAGCCCAAGAGGTTTTATTGATATCATTTGTTTAGGTATTTATATTTCACTTAAGGCTTATCTTTTGTATAGAGGAGGGATAAAGGTCTCGAGATTTTTTCTACATATTTGATATTTGTTACAAATGAGAAGGCTTGGTCAAAAACTAAGGAATCGTGTCGGCCTCTGCTTTGAGAGCTTGTAATTGTGCATGATGTACCATTGTTGATTGTTATATTTTACTTGATGATCTGGGGGAGCACAACCTCTTGTTTTGTGGATCTCATTGTGTAAGTTCTCGTCTTGCTTACTGTGGTTTTGATTGACTTAACTGGCTTTTTGTTGGAGATGTGTTAAGATGCCTGAGGGAAGAGAACATGGAGGCCTGATTGTTGCAAAATCAACATGGGAGCGATGAGTCCTTTTTTGATGGTTATTTTAGCTGAGCCTGTTTTTGCAAAGCTGGAGATATGGTCGAGGAGTTCGTCACATTTGAGCTGAGCAAATTGTGGTTGTGTTAAAAATTGAATCTCAAATTATTGGCTCTGCACTAAAGCCTGAATGATTGGATCATGCTTTCTACTATTTGGTCATTAGTAGACCTATGAACATAAATTCTTTGATCTCGTGTTGCGAAGACCTGTAATCATGTACGAAAACCCATTGTTTTTGTTGATGTAGACGTTACAATTGCGCTATTATTGCATTTGTTGCTTTTTTACTTGGCTTGAATTCTATTGGACTTGTGGGCTTCTTGCCCTGGTATTACATTGTGTCTTGGTACTATGGATTTGTTGCTTTTTAGTAGGCTTGATTTTTTCTAGTAGACTTGTGAGCCTTCGAACCTAGCATCACATCATGTCCAACCACTACAATTTATGGAAGCCTTAATGGACATGTGAGTAGACTCCCATTAAGGTGCCATTGATTGTTTGATTAATATATTTTGTAATCAAAAGTGATGGATTGAAGGTATTTTTCATTACTTGGAATATTTGGAGAATACCAATACGAGTGCCGTGCTTATGCGGGCATAACCACAATGATTGGATTTAATATCCTCTAAAATATTTTTGTATTGTGATTGATTTGAGGGCATATTGATCATGAATTTATCCTTATTTCTACAAGGCCTTAAAGATGAAACATGTATCTACTTTTGGGTGACATTAGAGGATAAAACCAATGAACTACAAAGATCGATGGAGAGAGAAATCCTCTATTGAAGTGTCTTTGTGAGCTTTGAAAATGCTCATGAGCTCCAAGGATGAGCCGTCACATTGAACTCTTTTGAAGTCTAGGGCCTGGATGCTAAGCATTATGGAGTTTTCTAAGAAATATTATTTCAATTATCTAGATGTCTACCTTGATTGAATTTTATACTATTCACAATTTATGTTAGACATGGGTATTAAAGTTTTCTATGGGCACAAGCTCCCAGGGTTAATTTGTCTTAGGTGGGGTGACTTTGTCAGCTAGACCTAATTGATATTGTTGGGTGATTTTGGTCTTTTTTCAGGACACTTGTGTGGCATGATTAAATTTTAATAGTGGGCAGATTCATAGATGTCAATGACGTAAAATAGCACGTGCCTTGGCGCACGGCGCGGCACGGCGGACCCGCGACACCATATGTATGGCTTGACACAGATGTTTAAAATGGCTCGCGCAATTTGCACCAAATCAGCACCATGGCTCATGGCACACGAAGCAAAATAGCACGCGCCATTGTTTTTTAAAAAAATTTAATATAAGTATAAATATTTTTTATATTTATTTATTTATTTTTATTTTTAAGATAACATATTTTCTAATTTTTAAATACAATAAAAGTGTTAAGATAAATGTTTGATAGCTCATTGCTTGTAATATTTTAAATTTTGAGATAAATTTTTAATATAATTATAAATGATGATTCCCAATAAGGGTAGATTAAATTCTTATAAAATCATTAACCTTTAAAGAAATGATTGTAATATTTTGAAATATGAAATATTTGGGTGTTGTTTATTTGAACTTATACATGCTTATGGTTGCCTTTCATTATTATTATAGATTGTCTTTCAGTTTAATGATATTTCATATTCATGCTTTTTATTTTTATAATTCTTGTATAATTTGTGCCATATTCAAAATAATGCGCGCTGCGCCGTCCGCTATGCGCCATGGCTCCAAAGGGACCTTTGCACTGTAGTGCAACATTTGCCGTTAACAAGTATGGGCGGATTGACAGTTCACATAGATAAGACTATATTTCTACTGATTGTTTACAGATTAGAACTTATTTTGAAGCTTAGAAAATATGTGTCAGGATACTGAGGATCAGCAAACGTTTTGAAGTTTTACTCTATGAACTATGGATTATAATCACAAAATAGGTCTTGGCTAGTTTTTGTTTATTGCTCTGTTGGCTAGTTTAGCCTATTGCCCTGTTATTTCTCTTAATTGCTCTTTATTTTTTTTTTCACGGAAGTTTGATTTCCTTATTATTTTGCTCTTGTTTTAGGGCTGCAATTTTCCAGGAAGACATAAAAGTTGTATCTGAAGCAACACATACTCAGCTCATAATAAATCTCAGGTCTTTAATTTTATATTTGCTATTAATTTGGTTTCACCAAGTATTCTAGCTTGATGACGCGCAGTGCTTATAAGAAAAATAAATGAACAGACCTTACTGGACTGATATTTGTGTTGAAGAACTTAGTCTTTCAGCCCTCCTTTTAGTAAGGTTATGCTTTGTTTCACTTAGCTTGTTGAAGTTCTTTTCATAATCTGGGAATTAACCCTTAAAAATTTCAGATTTCTTCCTGGTTATCCTCACAAGTGCCCCAAGTTACAAATAGTGCCAGAGAAAGGTTTATCAAAGAAAGATGCTGATCGCTTGCTCTCTTTGCTTGTTGATCAAGTGAGCCAAATCTCCCTATTCATGTTTCCAGTTTTTATTTTTATTTTCTACCATTTCAACAACATTGTGATCTTAACTATGACTATAGTTGCTATCTTCTATGCTGTTGCCAGCTGTCTTTGCATAATTTTTTATTAGATCTATATGCTATAATGTTTCGTCAACTTAGCTTTTCATCCAGGCCAAAATGAATTTGGAGTTATTTATTGAGTATTTTAGCTTAACATAGTACTTCTAATCCTTATGTCTTCCTGATAACTTCCATGCAGGCAAATATTAACTCTCGAGAAGGTCGAGTTATGATTTTTAATCTTGTAGAGGCGGCACAGGAATTTCTATCCGAAATTGCTCCCATAGAACAAACAGTTGAATCTGTAAGCCAGCTTCTTTTAGGTCTTAAAAGATTTTAGGGGATAATTTATTCACATCCCTCTGTTTCTTATTAAATTTCAATTATTGGAATGCTCTCGAATGTTTGCCCATTCATGTTATTTTGAATCTCTTTAATTTGTTGATTTGTGTGTTATAGTTGGGGATGCATCCTGCATTATTTAAGACATCGATGGTTGAACTTGATGCATTCTCAAGCAGTCATGCTGATGCAGTCACACAAGAAGAAACAGACACAATGGATAGAACTTAAAACAAACTTTATTAAAATAGAAACAGACAGCTAAGACTTGACAAACACAACAAGAAATATTAGAAGAAATAAAGGAAAATAAAAAGATGCTATCCTCAGACAACCGCAGAGTGGGTTCCTCACATGCATCAAATAGTAGATTAAATAAAAGAAGTGCATAAGACTAGCAAACCGATGGTCCACCACTGCAAGACTGTCCCAAATGCTTCCAAATCAACCAAGACACGACACCCTAAAGTTGCTTCACTGTTGAGAAGAAGGATACAGATGGAGTGACACTTGCGGAGAGAAGAAGAGGTTAGAAGCCCGAGAAGAAAGGGTGGAAAGAGCCCGCAGGATTTCCGGAGGGGATGAGAAAAGAAGGGTGGAAAGAGCCCGCAGGATTTCCGAATAAACCCGCAGGTTAATAGCAAACTATGCTCACAAATATCAACTGCTTTCCTTTTTATCATCTTCTCATATTTATAGGCATAGAAAAGGAATGTCAAAAGCCACCTTAATTAATGCTCACAACATCCCAAGCATTAATTTCCATAGGATTTCCAAATGCAATTTCAGAAAACATCCCAGCATTTCACGGAACCAAGGAGCCAGCATCATGGTAAGCAAGCAGGCCGAGAAATCAAAGCAACACAGCCACGGGAAAATACATCCCAGTTCGGAAAATCAGAGGCCGGTTGGACTCCCAAGGGAAAAAAATACTTTATTATAAATTCTAATGCTTTGAATTCAGCCACCAATAAAGAGCAAGCCACGGTTCTCCAAGAGACAAGAAGAAAAGGGGAAGGGGAAGGGACAAGGCCACTCCAAAAGTAAATCTTCTTAATGAGGTACCTTTTTGGATAATAATGAGCTACTAAACTCCAGCTTCAAGCAACTAAAAGAACAAGCTCAACGCCATGTGCTCCAAAACAGCCAACCCGAGAACCATCAGTGGCCAAGGACCAATCGAGCCAGCAAACCAAAGGTCTACTAAGCTTTATGCACAATCTACCATGATCATTGGATGCTTTCCCATCATTGGATAGATAAAAAAGAAAAGAAAATAAAATAGAAAATAAAATATATTATTGTTCAAATAAAATAAAAAGTACAGAAATTCTTGATAACATCACATGCTCATCTATTTTATTTATTTGTTTGTCATATCAATGTGTGCCTTTTCTTGTATGGTATGATGTTAGTACTTGTCAACATTATAGAAAGCTGCTTTGCAAAAATACAGCTTGAAGTGAATGGGAGTTTGATTTGTAACATAAGTCATGATCCAGAATCACACAAGAGTTCATACCTGAATCATTTCAACCAGACATAATGTACCCTGCTGCTGGATTTTCCACGGAAATGTTTGAGTAAAATCCTCTGTTGAAGAAAATTATACTAATTAGGAGAAAGAGAGGGAAAGGAGTATTGGTCTCTCTTCGTTTGGAAACAATCATTTTATAATTTTTGTTATTGTTTCCTCCAGTGCAAAGTTATTTTATACATCTAAGATTTCAAATCTTATGATAATTTGTTAATGTATTATTCTTGCGGACTATTTATGATCTGTTCTCATTCATCTTTGGTAGGTTTCTTACTTGGGTTCGGTTGGAAAGGACCGGTCAATTAAGGATGATTCAGTAGTTCTTGGTGGCTGTAGGTTATATCCTGATGGTCCTTCCGTTTGTGGTTCAATTGATCTGTATGGCGATTTGTGCAGCGACGAAATGTTGTGGGGTCGCCTTGGAACGAGAGTTGCTAATGACAACTCTGGTAAACCTTCTGAAGGACAAGCTAGACCCTTCATCAAAACCAGAACTAAAGATTTTCACTCAGATTATCTGGTTCGACAGCATTTGCAGCAGCCCGGATTTTCCCCGGCGCCGTCTGCAAGAACCACCTGATCACCTCCTCGAGTCCAGCAGAAGATCCGCCGTCCGGGACCTCCTCCTCGAATGGTAACAGACGAAGGTTTCCGGAGGTTCTCGGAAGGGATTCGAGGGTTTTAGTTGTACTCACGAAAGAAAAGATGGCAGATGGACAACACGACGAAGCTTCGCTTTTCTCCTCTCGATTGGAGCCGAACAGCACGACGAAGCTTCGCTTTTCTCCTCTCGATTGAAGCAACGCTTTTCTCCTCTCGATTGAAGCCGAACAGCACGACGACCTTCGCTTTTCTCCTCTTGATTGAAGCCGAACAGCACGACGAAGCTTGCTTTTCTTCCGATGGACGAAGCTTGCTTTTCTTCCGATGAATTTATAACCCGCTCGTATTGAGCGGGTTTCTAATTCACGCAAAACAGTCTCCGTAATACACTCCTAACACATCCGGTGATTTCGTTTTGTTCCGCTCAAATTTACCCAAACAACCAAATATAGTAAATACAGGTATTTGTTTTACTTTACACTCCTAATTCAGGCAACCAAACAGCCCCTTAACTATAAATGTATGCTCAACATTTTAACTTAGTATCGCTTCATCTATTGCAATGAGATTCTCAACAGCTAGATAGGGAAGTGAAATTGGAATGATGGGGCTTGTGGAAGTAATAATTGTAATAGAAATCCTTCCCATAAAAGAATTAACACATATTCTTGAGTTTTGAATGTTCCTTGATTAGATGTAAAAGTTTTTATTCATCAATTAATCAATAATTCAAGTTCGAAGCATTGGTTTCAATTTATATAAATAGGGTTACAATTACAAGATCAAATCATTTATGTTTAAATTTTAAATTTAGTTCTATTTTAAATGATATCTAATCTATCAAAGTATATAACTTTAAGCCTATCATTATCCAAAGAGGATTATTAAACCTATTAAAATAAATCAACAAAAAAAATGAAAATTTAGCTAAAAAATAGAAATTAGCTTAAAAATGCATTATAGCAGATTTGGTTCAGTCCTCTTGTGGCTTGGTTTATTTCTTATATTAGGCCTATGGCAATTTTAGCTTTTGTTGGGCTGTTTGAGCTAATTATTGTCCTGCACTGCATCAATTTTATTTATTTATTTATTTTATTTTTATTCTGCACTGCATCAATGTTTTGATTACTTGGTTAATAAAGAAAGGCTTAAGTTTTCAGATCTAGTTGCTCACATTAAAAATTTAAATGGCAGTTACAAATAGGATGAAAGTGGAGAATAAATTGACTTGTGTAGGATAGGAAGTGTGTAAATCAGCGTAAATGGAACCAATTATTTTGTTTTTATTTCTAAGATAAAGCTTTACTTAAGTTAGCAATTTGGCCTACTTGAGTAAAACAATGTAAACAGTAAGCCACAAGCTAGTTTGATAGTTGTGTTCTTTCTGTTACCAGAGGAACCATTGATAGTATTGGTGATTTGGACTCATTAGCTAGGATTACTTCTAAAAGTATAGGATTTTTTAATTTTAAAATTCTGCTGTACAGCTGATCAACTTCTTAGCTCGGAGACCTGAAAGAACCCTAACGCGAGCTTATAGACAGATAAGCGGATGTATTTATAAAATTATATCCTACATGCGTATGTGAGAATATTTAACAACTAATCGTATTATTAGGAATATCCAGAAATAAAGTTATATTTGTGATTTTATTATAAACCTAGAATTTATGAATACATCAGGTTACTGATATTAAGTGATATTGACAAATCAGTATACCCATTGAACTTGAGATCTCTTTTGCTACTGTGCCAATCATCTTTCACTGAGCTGAAGGTGGCTAAATTCAGTCCCACTAGCCCCACCAGTGAATGAATAAGTTAAGGAATATATGCTATTATCGATTTGATATTTAATCATGTTGAAGTAGTATATTTGTCTAATTTCTTTCCATGCAGAGTGAAATACACGAAGTGGCATGTCTGATGTTGCATACTAGTATCCAACATGATATAATAATGCCCTTTTGAAGTGCCCAGGCTTTACAATGTTTAGCCATTATTCATGTTACATGTGTCCTTGTCAAACATCTCATTCTTGGCTTGGCTGCAGGATCTTGAACTTTTGGAGCAAAATGAGAACTCTGATGATTCGGAACCAGATGACAAATCGTTCAGTTCACATTCTAGTACAGGGAAGCAGGAGTCTGAATCTCATTGCAGGAAGAAGGATCTGCTTATGGTATGTAGCAGCGATTCTTGAGTTTTTGATTTATAGAAGTCTCATGATCATGGACTTAATTGTTTTCCCTTAATCTTAGGTGCATTTACTTCATCTTGCTTGCTCTCCTGATAGAGCACTTTCTCATGCTTTGCCAGTAATATCATCAGAGTTGTACAACTTGGGGGTATTCTATTCTTTCAATATCTACTCTAGTGAAGAATTTCCTTGTTTTTCATGAGTTATTTCTACGCTTCATTTAATTTGGAACGATTCAGATGATTTCAGAATGGGCTAAGGATCTATCTAATGGATCTCCAATAACATTTAGTAAAGTTTTTGCTCATGCCTTTGAGCATCACATGGTTAGCTTATCTTTGTATGCACTTGTTTTTTTTTTATTTCACCTCTTTGTTTGGGCAAAAGGAAAGTTGTGATGCTGATTTTTTTTTGAACTTCCGTTTACAGAATGTCTCGAGAATCTCTGAATTTTGGAAATATGCCAACAATTTTACTGGAGATAGCAGGTCATCTCTTCTGAGTTCCCGCTATTTGAATGACTTCGAGGAAATACATTCTCTTGGTAAGTACATGAATTTGTGAAGCATCGTTTTACTAATTATATTCATAATGTCTATTTTCAGTTTTATGGCTTCTTTATTATTCAGAAATTGCATTAGCATGCTTGCTTGATTTTATTTACTACTTGAATAAACCTAAAGGCAATAGTGTTGGTGAAATTTTGTCATCGTCAACGTATTGAGATATTTTGTGATCAAATATGATAGAAAATAATATATTTTTCTGAATGGACTCAATAACAAAACTCACAATTTTATATTTTAGCAAAGATTTTTCAATATTTGGTTGAATGGGGTTTGTTTTATTGTGGTGTACGGATGCCCTATAGCGGCAAGCCCCTATAGTTAGTTATATCTTAATCATTTGTTACTTGAGAACACTTTTGATTAAACTAGTAATTTTTTTCTAGTCATTAAAACATTGACTAATATTTTATTTTTGAGTTTGAGAAATTCTTGTTAAAAAATTTTGTCTTTGAGAATTTTAAGGGAGATGTGATCAACTTTAAATCAAATTTTTTAAGAATGGATGTCGAAGGAGGAAGATATAAGAGCACTTGATTATGAGAAACTCAGAGGTGATCAAATTATCTTATGTTGGGTTTTACATTTAAAATTAAATTTTTGTTTGAGTTGATCAGTTTGATTTAGACAATTGAGGCTTATATTCTAATAACACAGGTTAAAGGAAATGACCCAGAATATGAGGGTTTATTAGGTGACTGGAGTCAACATTAGCCTCGAATCCTAGATCTAAGGTGAGGACTACTAAATTGTAATACCTCAAACTTATGTCTAACAAGATGCATGGGACTTACAAACATACACCTCAAATGAGGCTAAGTTAGGGTCATTTGAGGTAAGATAAACATGCCTAAGGATTTGGTTTAGGACTTTGTGAAATTCATCTAATTGGATAAGGTGAATTTCAATAGGAAGGGCTTTTAAAGAGGAATATAGAATTTACATTTTAATTGTCATGAAAGGATAATATCTCTTGTTTTAGTTAAATGAAAGGATATTTATAGTTTGGGTCTTAGTAGAGGGATTATCCACTTGATTAGGGATCAAATAGAGGAAGGTCATGAAATACCTAAAGCTTTGGAGCTAAAGGTTTGGAAGGTGTAACCTATAGCTTGGAGGCTAAGGATTGAGTAAGAATCCTGACAACTTCATGATTGAGGGAAATGTGATAGAACTTATAGCTTTTAGGCTAATAATTAGAGGGTCCTCTTCAGCTTTTAGGCCAAATGAGAAGTGAGCTAACACTTAGCCTTTGAACTAATGTTAAGAGAAGTTCCTATGGGTTTTGAGGCTAAGAAAAGAAAGGGAATCCCATAGTTTCAAGGCTAGGGAATGATGTACTTCTTATGGCTTTTAGGCTTAGGAAGTTGGGGAATTTTCTACAAGTTTTGGGTTCATAGAAAAAGGAAGGGGAATGTGCAACTTTAGGGGTTGCAAATTAGGGAAGATTCTTTGAACTTTAGGTATTCAAAGAGAGATAGTCATTTGTTTAATTGGGGCTAAACAAATAAAAAAAAAAAAGACTAGGGTTTGGGCATTACGTCTATGGGGAATGATCATTTGTTGATTTTGTATAAAGAAATATGATAAAAAACTTAGCATTTGGTTCTAAGAATCACTAGCGCTCTTTAGAGTTCATTTTGGAACCTCTATGTGAGCTTAAAAAGCAATTAGAAAGAGAAAATTGGATATGTTAACTCAAGTTGAATTTAGTCCAATTCAAATTAGAATGCTAGGATATCCTTTAGGGTGTGGCGCTCCTAAAGGGTGCTAATATTCATTCATTTGGGGGTCGTTGAATGCAAGCCCAAGGACCTTATGCTCATTAGCATCCTCTTTCGGCTCTCACATGAGAGAAAATAAGTGGAAATCATTGGATTTCCATTATTTTGCGGAGGGGACAGTGGATATGGGATTATTTTTGGGTTTAGAAAATATAATGCTGGGGTTTCTAAGGACCTAAGGGTTCGGGAGGTGTCAACCACATACCTAAGGTTTATAGACCTAGATTTTCTAAGTTTAAGGAATTTTATATTGCTGAAGCTAATATCAGACGGTTCTGACCATAGCGCCTATACCTTGAAGAGGTATAGACGACTTAGATGAGTGAAATCTCACTGTCCAAGTTGTTTTGGCTATTACCTCCATTGTCACATGCTCGCGCGGAGTTGGTGGATAAAGGAGAAGAAGCCTTTGCCTTCATTGACTGAGAAAATAAGGAATTGCATCAGCTCCATACTGGTGGTTTTGGAAATGGAAGTGAACAGTAGCAATTTTCCATGGGCTTTGTCCTCAAGATTGAATATAGCTATCCAAAAACTCTCAATTTGGGCTTGAATTGAGTTCAAATCGAGTTTGATTTGGATTAATTTAAGTTGATTTGATTTAAATTTGGGTTTAATTAGACTTAATTTGGGCCCGATTTGAGTCGATTTGGGTTTAATGAGGCTCAATTGAGTTGATTGAGTTCAATCGAACTCAATTGGGTCTGATTCAACTCGATCTGAGTCGAGTTGGCATAAAAATATATGTCAACAAAGAATATCACCAAGTTTGTATTTTATGCAACAAAATCTTAAGAAGTGGTTATGAGAAGTCACTAAACCTACCATTTAAGAATGATGATAGCATGACTAATAGAACAACTTTGAGTGTAGATGCTAGTGAGTAAAGAATTGTAGGAACAATTATTGTGACGAGAACAAATGCATTTTTTTCTCTCTTCTTTTATTTTTATCCTATTTTCCTTTTTTTTGTTATTTTTGAGGTTGTAGGGATTGGGTCATTTTTGGCAAGGAGTTGAGGGACATTGAAGATCGTCGAGTTAGGTGAGGAGGAGATTGTATCGTGGTGGTTGAGGGTGGAAAAGATCATTGGCAACTGGTGAGGTTGAGGATGTTGAGATGGTGGTCAACTAGAGAGGGAGGGAGATTCGAGCATGTTTTGTGTGAGCGAAGCTCGTGATAAGTATGACGATTGTGATTAAGAGGTATGACTACTAGTTGGTCGCCTTAGCTAGGGTTGAGAGGTCCGACAAGAGCAGTTCAATGTGGTTGAGGGAGAGAGACAGGTGAAGGAAGGAAAGTGGAACTAACAAGTGAGTATTAGTGCAGAGAGGAGTGTAGGTTCACGGAGGTTGCAATCATTGAGGGAAGACGTCAACAACTAAGTAGGGAGTGATGAG